TTATTTTAGATTATTACGTTTTAATTAATTTTTTAATATATTTATATTTATTTAGCACTATATGTAAAACACAGACTACTTTTTTTAAGATTTCCACTTTCACGTATACGATTCTTCCAGGTTTTCTTCGGTTTTTTTTTCTTTGTTACGTGTTGCGTAGGTTCGATACGCCACACACGCGCGGTTTTTTTGCAACTGATTCTGCTGTTGCTGCTCTTCACACACTTTTTATCACTTCAATTTTTTTTGCGGCTTGCAGCCGCTGGCATTCACTGGTACACTGACGTATCCAGCAGTATCACCAAATTGACTGATCCGTGTGTGGCACTTTTGCGATTTTCACAAATACCATTTGTTGCTTGCGCAGCACAGGTTTTGTGATTTTCGTAATAGTTTTTATCTCGTATTGTTGTTGTTGTTGTTGTTGTTGTTTCTTTATTTGCGTTTATTGTTAGTTTTATTAGTGTTGCTGATGAGGTCGCGGTCAGCGGCAACTGCTTTAAACGTAGAAACAAATTTCTAAATTAATTTTAATTGAATTTGATCATCACTACAGAGTAGGTATGTATGTACATATGTATGTGTGTGTGTGCGTTGCGTTTCATAATAATAGATCGGCATAACATTAGAGGGTATACTTTTTAAGAGATTATTATTAAAAGATTTTTAATATAATTATTTTGCGTGAAATTTGAAAATTACATCGTCTAACAGTGAAAAAGTAATTTTCTTGAGTGAACTAATACAGATCGTTGGTCTGGTCGGATATTTATAGAAAACTAATTTTTACAGAATTCGCGAAATAAATTTTGAGGTCTCAATATGGATTCAGAAAAAATAATATTTTTACTTTTTGTCAGAAATGCTAAAATATATATTGAAAATAAAAAGAAATTAGAAACTTTCAGACAATTTGTTTTTTAATTTTATTTTTTACTTCAGCAAAAAAATATTTTTTTTTAATAATTTAATTTAATTTTCAGAAAACATTTTGTTAAAAAAGAAACATATTAACGCTAAGATCTCCTCGTTCAGATCTTTCAATTAGATTCATGAAAACAGAAAAGGGTTTCAAGACATTTTTCAGTGTTAGCCCAATTTTCTTTGCGTATATCTAGCAGGGCAGCCCTTAAAATGTGACAATCTAAATTTTTTACGGGGCATTTTTTTTTGTTTTACGTACAATATAAAGACATACCCGAAAAATTTAAAATTAAAAAAAAAAATTTAGGAAAATTTTACATTTTTTTTCTTTTAGTTTGCCAAAATTCGGCAAAATTTTTACTTGAAATCTGACAAATTTTACATACTATTAAAACTTATTCATAAAAACTTATAAACTCGCTGAATTATAGCTGGTTAAAGTAAAAATTTTGTAGAATTTTTGCGAAAATTTTTTTTATTGAATTTTATTACAAAAACAAATCTAATTTTTCAGACCCTTGTAGCAAGTCTTAAATTATTGAAATTTTTGGTGATGCCCCATGATGTTGATAATTTAAGAACCATCCTAATATCTAGCCCTTACCGCGATGATAAAGTAAGCGAATTTACATTTTGATGCAAAAAAAGTTGTTACAGCATCTAGGAGCTTTCAATCGCCCTTGATCTATTAAAATGAAACGCAAATTCTAAAATTTAAGCCCAATTTTTTTTTTATAGATATGTAGGTTAGTGAATAATAGAGGACTTGGTTAGTCGACGTACACAATTTTAGGTCGACAAAGGTGACAACGACAGCATTGACTTGGACAAAAACGAGATGTACAACAACAAGGCTAATAGCCAATTGTACGCGATGGCGGCGACTACGAAAACGACCACGAGGAGCACGATAGCGACGACCACGACAACGACGATAAATGACTTAGCGCGCGATTGTTCCCGTTTCACTTTGTCGGCGGCGATAGTAGTGAAGGTGACGCGAACGTAACTCCTGTCACGGTTGACTATGGCGTTGACGACGTCTATGCTAACTGTGACCGCGACGATGACAGTTACAATGGTTGTGTTTGTTGTTACTACTTTTACTGGCAAGGTGGTGGTGCGAGTAGTATAAATTTGGATTTTCTTATTACTTTTGTTACTTTGTTTATTGTTGCTGTTGTTGTTGTTGTTGGATATGGTTACAATTTCTTGTTGGTTAAGGATAACAAATCTGGGGTTGTCGTTGTCCACATCAAAGACAACATCGACATTATCTATACGACGATGGTGGTGATGCATGTTGTACACCAACAAAAAAGGCTCACGACGACACTCATGTGGGACGGATGGAACGCAAACGGCGCTATAACCACCACATTCAATAATGTTGTTCTGTTGTTGTTTCTAATTTTCTTGTTGCTGACGTGCCCGACACAATTGCTTCACACGGAATTTTGCATAACAAAAGTGTACGACGAGCGAACGTACATTTGTACATACATATGTATGTAGTAGATACCCGACAAGCCAAAACGTCCGACCAATGTCAAACCACAGCGATAAAAAAGTAGGAAACAAATTGGGATTGTAGTGCAAATTTTAGATTTTGATTAGGTGACATGAGGAAAGGTCGTTTTTTTACACACTTTAAGTAGTTGAGTTACACAAACGTTTTTGTTGTTGTTGTTGTCGTTGTTGACATCTAGCTTATTTTGCAAGCAAAAGCTGCGAGTTCATTTGTTGCCGCCTGCACTTTTGGGTCGGCTTGTGAAAGTGACCGCGTTATTTGTTGCACAGCCACTCTCTTTTCACTCGCACTCTGCCTCTCTCTCTCTCNGCAACTTTCCGTTAATTTATTTTGTAAAACTAACGGCACACGCGCAAATATTTATTTGTATACACCATATGTGTCGTTGTTGTTGTGTTTTTTATATTGTTTTTCTTTTTCCGCTTTATTTTCGTCGAGGGGCTCAAGAGCCGCAACGCGCCTCGTTCCGTTATATTTACGCACACCTCACTTTGCGCACCAATTGATTAGCCTCTGAAGTGATCGTCGTGGCGCGAATGTTATCGAGCAAAAACAAAAAACAAAATTCAAAAAATCATAAAAATTTTTTGCTTTTGAAAAATATTAAAATATTTTTGCCGATTCTTTTTAGCATTGTTTCTCACAAACAGAAGAAATAAAACTTTTGTTTATTTATTGTAAGTGTTGAATTTTGGTTGTTGTTGTTGTAGTTGTTGTTGTTAATTAGTATGTGTTGTTGATGTTTTTAGATATTGATCTTTCAGCTAATTATTCCACTACACGTGTGCCAAACACACACACACACAGAGGATGCAGTTTCAGTTGGAATTATTCCTAGAAAGAAACAAAACAGCGATTAAAGCAATAATCAGTCAAACAGTTTCTTAAATAAGTAATCGTATGCAGTGTGGCGAGTAACGCGACAGTTTGTTTAAAATTTACGCTTATTTTTTACGTATTCTTTTTTATGGCGCGTGTGTGTATGATGTGCTGCGTCGCGGTTGTTGCTGCTGCTTTTGTTGCTGCTTGTTGTTTAAACTGCGTAGTTTCCATTTTTCTCAAGTAATATACAAATTTATTTATTTTTTTTTTTTAATTTTCCAAACAATCAAAGATCGAAAGATTCGCCGCTTCTTATGTTAATCAATAATACCTAAGTAAATTTACATACGTGCATATGTCGGTATGTATGTACAGTCAGTGTCAAAAGTTAGTATACTAAGCTTTCACGTGCCTTGAAATTTTGTTCATGCAAATTTTTTTTCATTATTTTTTTATGAAAATATAATTAAATCTAGTAACATAAACTATAAAAACTCAAAGCTTCACACTTTATATGAAATTCAAATATTTGACACAATTTCAAAATTTTGTTCAGATTCTGATTTTCGGTGTGTTCAATGTTTACAAGTCAGTTTAACTCCAAATAGTGATTTAATTTTTTGTGAGTCTTGCGCATTTCTTCAGACTGCATTATTAGAATTTTGTGAAACTCTGATGTTTATAGTTGTATGTATAGAATGAACTATAACTAAAATTCATGGAAATAATTGTGAATATTATATTAGAACAATGTGTGTACTAACTTTTAACACTGGCTGTATGTGGCTCAGTTATGTTTGCACGCTTCGCTAAAAATATGGTATTCGATGCGCGGAACACATTTCTGGTGTCATTGTGGTTTGCACTTAACTTCTCAGTGAACAAATAAATATCAGTAAGTAAAAATACATACAAAAATTTAGAAATTTGCTTGCAGGTCTCTATGTGATGCTGCGCCGGCTAATTCTTTTTGCCTTTTTCGCGTTTTGTGTGTACATAGTTTTTAATGACATTTATTTTTTTTTGGTGTTTGATTTCATAAAACCAATCGCTTTGGATTATGGAATGTATCCGTTAAATTAGAGGCGACAAAATGGGAAAAATGCTTATTTGGATCAATGCTAAACTAAGGCTGAAATCATAGACGGCAGCGTTGGTCGAAATTACATATCTCATTACTTCGGAATTATCTGCAGGATAGAGTTCATTCTGGAATTAAATGCAGAACCCAGGTTCGATTCCTACTGCGCGCAACTTTTAAAAATTTTATTCCTATGTGTAAGATAAAAAGTTATATTTCTTTTATTTTTTATATATTTTATTTATTTACATATATACTATACACTGGCGACAATTAATCACCCTCACATTCGTTTTCTGAATATTTTCCATTGTAGCGGGGTTTCGAAAAAAAGATAAAACACTAGGTTGAAAGTATGCGAGTTTTCTCCGACTCATTGCTAAAAGTAATCAGTTTTAGCAGAAAATTTGAGATCATCATCTCAGATGAAGATCGAGATATCTGGTCAAATGTATGCATGTCTCTCTTTGATCTCCAGATATGTATGTACCTTGGCACACAGCCGGGTAAAAATGAAGGAAGGAACCATGACTGGATTTTCTATTGAAATGGGCAGATGGCCCCGATGTACTAGCAGTCCGGGCGTGTGCCAGACTAAATCTTGAAAACATTTTCAAAAACGATCAGTCAAGCGTTTATCAGGGCCCTATCAAATCACCTCAAGGCTCGCTAAGGAATAAACGAAATAGGAAAAAATCTTTATAGCTCAGAGCTTTTGTATACAATTAATATCTGGAATAGCTCTTTTTAAAGAGAGGAAAATCTAATTTGTTTTAGATAAAGCACTAGGTATGGGTTTCACACAAGTTTAGGGTGTAATTTGAACCCATAGTCACCATAACTGTATTTCGGATTTTCCTCAAGCTTTTTTATTCATGGAGTCAATGGTTATCAACTTAAATTTAATTTCCCAAACACAGGAATCCGTTGAAAACTGTTCAAATTATGAACGTTATTTTGACCCAACATTCGGATTTTCAGTTTTTTGATTTCAGACAGCCGCACTCTGAAATATTCTGCAAAAATTGTTTGCTGTGTATCTTTAGTCCCATCCTTTTGGGGAGCTGGACACTCGCAAAGGAAGTGTTTCACTGTCTCTTTTGAGCCCAGATAATCGCAACTGCGACAGACCTATTGAAGGGCAATCCAATCCTTTCGATATGTAAGCAATAAGTTTATCTTCTTTGCTCATTCCAAAAAGACTTTTGATTTTAAGTGGGTCGTAGGACATCCAGAACTGACTGGTAATTCTGTACGATCCTCTACTTGGCCTTCGAGTGATAAATTTCGTTAATTCTTGGAATCGCGCCCACGACCTCGCGGCTTAATCTCCCAGATCCTCTGAACCTTTAAACCGGATTAACGTTGCCGTCTGTCTAAGCTATAAGCTATCTGAGATTCTAGTTAAGTTTAAGTACAGGGATGGGATCCCCTTGTGAGATTCTTATGTATATACGCATGAATGAATATTTAGCGGTAATTTCTTTTGGTTAATAATTTTGCCGAGCTTCTCTTTTCATTTGTAATGTGCGGCAGAAGGAGAAACGTACCTACAGTTTTAAGCTGACGCAAATCCTCATCTGGAATCAAGGCGGAAATACAATCACATGGCGAAGCACATGCTTTGAAAAATCTTTCCCATGAACTGTAACTGGACCGCCCAAATACTTCAACAAGTACTAAGTACCAAGGTAAAAACCTCATCTGTCGACAGCCCAGTTCATTTTCAGGTATCAGCAAATAAACGGTCATATAAGACAAAACCACAGTGTTAATTTATTCAATGAGAGGACATGCGGCGTAAATTTTGATGAATATTCCCGATTTTGAAAGAAGCAGTTCTAAGGCGTTGATGGGTGTATCGCGGCTAGAAGTTGATCATGGGTCCAGTAGCGAGAAAGGCAAAGATCCGCTGTATCAGGGTAAAGCTAAGTAGCTTAGAAGGTCGCCTAGTACAGAAAGCACTTTCTTAATGACGAGGGTTTGGTTGGGCATTAAGATTAAGATTTCAATTGAGACTCAGATTGGGATTAAGATAAAAATTAAGATGGACAGAGATAAAAATAAAGAATTAGACAATGACAAAGATAAAGATAAAGATAAAGATAAAGATAAAGATAAAGATAAAGATAAAGATAAAGATAAAGATAAAGATAAAGATAAAGATAAAGATAAAGATAAATATAAAGG